AAGACTCGGCATACTGCAAATCATCAAGTTAAGCACATGTGGACATGTACTATAATTAAATATCCCGTGAATCCGTATCGTTTACAGATATCTATGCACAACTGATTTATAGGCTAAAGGCATCGCAGTAATAAATCTGTAGATTAGCTTGTTTGAGTTCTCCCATTACTTTAGAAGCACTGTCAGAATAACTGTAGGATTAAATAAGGAGGAAAAATAGATTAGCACTATGAATATAGTCAGAGAGGCTAGAAAAATTATGGCTTTTATAATGTTCACCCTGACTTTATAACCATATAATGCGGGTGTTCGCATTTTGCAGTGGAAAATGCTCATAATGAGTTTTGAAATATACACCAACAATAATAGAAAAAGAAAGGGAGAGAGGAGGAGAGAATGAAAGGAAGACGGGGGAAAGAAGAAAGAGGTAAGGAGAGGAGGATGGAAGGGAGAGGAAGAGAAGGAGAGAGGGTAGGAAGAAGAAGAGTAGGAGTAGGAGAAAGGGAAGGGAAGAAGGAAGGAGAAGGAGAGGAGGAAGGAAGGAAGTAGAGAAAGGAGGTGTTACAAAAGGAGGAAGGGATGGTAAATATAGCAACCCAAACTGTGTATTATAACCTATTAAATGAAATAATTAATGTATTAGAACGATAAATGTAAAGAAGAATAACAATTATGTGAATATATACTTAAAAGGATATATAAGAGAATAAAAGAATAAAAAAATCTTAAAATAAAAAAGAAAGAAAATGCTCACAATATACACGCAGTCCTTGAATGACAATCATTCGTTTAAGTCATCATCATCATCTTCTTCTTTTAACCACCCCATAATCCCTAGCAGGGTGGAGTCTGGGCAACTGAATGGAGCTGAGTGTTTACTGGCCCGATGCCCTTCCTGTCACCAATGAGGAGTTTTGTTCAGTAGATACATTCTCATTGTGTCCAGAAAGAGAAATATCTGAGCTAGGATAGAACTCACAGTGAGGCGAGACCCGCTCCACCTCTAGGCCGCCGCACCACTCAGACAATCATTCGTTTAGCGACCGTTCCAAACCACAATGGCACTGAAAAAAGTAACTTATGACAGTTTTTCACACTTATGACCATTGCAGCATCTCCAGGGTTGCGTGATCAAAATGTAAACGCCTGGGCAACTGGCATGTATTTATCACAGTTGCAGTATCCGGGGATCATGCAATCACCTCTTGCGATCTTCTGACAAGCAAAATCAATGGGGAAACCAGATTCACTTAACTATGTCACTAACTTAGCTGCAGTGATTCACTTAACAACTGTGGCAAGAAAGGTCATCAAATGGGGTAAACCTCACTTCATAACTGTCCTGCTTGACAATGGAAATTTTGGGCTGAATAAATCGAGGACTATTGAGGACTATAAGATACATTAAAAAAAATACCCTTGTGAATTATTGACTAGGACCCACTGAGGCATATTATTAGCAAAAGAGATAAAATTCTGCAGGGAAGAAAATTATTTTTTCAGTTATTAAATTGCCATGAGGCCCATCTCCCCTGTAAGGTAACTCACAGATTACAAAAAGACAGATAGAGAACTAATTAAAATTATGCAATTTAATATTTTAAATAGTTTTCCCAGTTGCAATGGATGGTTGTGAAAGTTGGATCGTAAGAAAGGCCGAGGGCCAAAGAATTGAGGCCTTTGAACTCTGGTGCTGGAGAAGACTCCTGCGAGTCCCTTGGACTGCAAGGCCATTCAACCGGTCAGTCCTAGAGGAGATCAACCCTGACTGCTCTTTAGAAGGCCAGATCCTGAAGAGGAAACTCAAAATACGTTGGCCACCTAATGAGAAGGAAGGACTCCCTGGAGAAGAGCCTCATGCTGGGAACGATTGAGGGCAAAAGAAGAAGAAGGGGATGGCAGAGAATGAGGTGGCTG